GTGGTAGTCGTTGCTGGCGTGGGGGTTGATGTTGGAGTGGTAGTCAATGCTGGCGTGGGGGTTGATGTTGGAGTGGTAGTCAATGCTGGCGTGGGGGTTGATGTTGGAGTGGTGGTTGATGCTGGCGTGGCGGTGGATGCCGTGGTGGTTGATGTTGGAGTAGGAGTCAATGCCAGCATAGGGGTTGATGCTGGAGTGGTAGTTAATGCTGGAGTGGTTGTTGTTGGAGTGGTTGGTGTTGCTGGAATGGTGGCTGATACTGGAGTAGTGGTTGATACAGGAGGGGTGGTTGTTTCTGGTGTGAATTGGGCAATAAGACAAGATGCAACAAACGATCAAATTTCATCGATATTTTGACCCCAAATGGGTTGGTTTTCACTTTTTAAAAATGTATAAATTGGTCTGCCATCATTTGTAATTTGGTGTAATTTGTAGCAGCGTTAAGGTTGGAGTTAAAAATTGCCAAAATCCTCTCCCCAGTTGAACTCGCCCCTTGTGTTTTCCTCGTCTTTTATAATCCTGGCTTGGCAACGATTTATCGCAACCCTGTGTTCTGTTTACACTCCCAAACTAAGTGTAGAAAGAGACTGTCCAGCCGTTGACTTTTTGCATTGCGTGATTTTATGTGAATATTTAAGATTAAATTGTGTTAAGCTGTTAAATAAGGAAAACTTCGTTGAATTTAAGCCCTTCCGAGAAACTTTGATCTCGCGCAAAAAAAACCGTCTGATGACATCTCAATTACTGGCCTTACTTTATTGACAATTTACGTTTAGGTCTTGAATGTTAATTTACGAAAAAGTTCCTGATTTGCAAAATTGATCAGGAAGAGTTTGCTAAAGTTCAGTTTATGTCGGATTTGGATCGGATTCGGCATATTTTGGATTAAACCACGAAGACCATCAGGTCGAATGGTCTTCTTGCGTTAAAGCTCAGGCTTCGGATCAAATGTGGATTTTCGTCTGGATCTGTTAAATGGAATTGACCTTCTCTAACTTTATCTGATACGCATCTTTGTTGCAAATATTTTCGAATGACTTTCGTTTGTTCGCCTGTATTCACTCTTGAAATACCGAATCAGCTCGTTTTGCCAAAGAAAACATGTCTGCTGCCTAAGAATATGGAAATGGGTTTGATAGCTAAGCATTACAACAGAAATATTTCTCACCGATTACATCGAACGCGAAGCTTGCTGAGGCGAAACACCCCAAATTATTGGTCAAGGAGCAGGTCACATTGTGCGATCCTAACGGAAAGTCGCCCCCTGAGACGGTCACATTGGTTCCCCCTGTATCATCCGTACATGTTATTGCCCGACCACTTGCGTTTGTGGCATTGACCTCATCCCAAGTTACTGAAATTGATACCTGACCAGGAGAAATCTGCCGAGTTTCAACCTTAGGCACAATGATTGTAGGTATTGCTGAAAAGTAAAATACACAGTCTTAAAATTAGTCCGTTCAAAATGTACACCGAAAAGTATTTGTAGAAAAGCATTCACATAATCCATACAGATGCTTTATGGTTAGTAACTGAGAATATCCTGAAATTATTGTCGCTACTGCATCATTAGCCTTTTAGAAGCACGGCGTACACAATAGGAAGGCGCTATTTGGTTTCTGTAAAATCTTGTGTGTTTGCTCCAACTTTACCCACTTCAAACAGCGTCCTCCTGTTGTGTCCGCCATGCTTGTAAAAGGCTAATGTCTACAAAATGATCTCCTCTTTCAACTTAAACCACGTGAAGACAACTAGCCATGAAAAGTGCATGTTCCTCTGAGATTTCTGTAACTAATAGACGATGTTAATCACGAACAACCATATCTTACCAAAGATGCTGAACGAGAAGTTTGTAGAGACAACTTTTTCAAACGGTAGATCAACCCTGCAGGTCACAACATAGTATCCCACTCCAAATACACCTCCAGTTGATGAAACATTGGTTCCTCCAATGGACTCTGTGCAAATGATGTCCTCAGCAGCGGTATTTGTGGCAGTAACGTCCTCCCACATCACCTCAACAGGCCCTTCCGCTTCATTTATGCACCGATCTTCAACAGATGGCACTGTGATATTTGGCGTTTCTGTGACATAAGAATGGCCAAGAATGGTTGCGGTGGAATGATTAGCTTCGTAGTACGTTGAAAAGTGAGAGGCAATAGTTGAATCTCAGCTAACGTATGGTTCTATGTCGAGATCCTTCACAGTTCGATGGATACCGTTGGGCAGAAAAATCAATGGCGATGATGATATTTTCTTGAATAACAAACAACTGGCTTATTTCATCACCCCTTAAACCTTTGAGGTCGGTAGCCTCAACAGTGATCGTGTCTGGGAGTCAACGTGGAAACTTGGCTTGAAAAGAGTGCATTATTCTCTATAAAGATTTGAAGGTAAATTTCAGCTTGATATAAACCAAACAATTAAGTCAAAGGTTAATTTGCATGTACTTGTCAAAATTAGCTCTAAGGCCGTGTCCGAATCACTTGGCTACGGCCGGAAATTACACAAAACTCTTTGGGAATTGGCCGCGGCCACTATCATAGACTCATGTGTGATTTCAAGCCACAGCCAAGTGATTTGGACACGGCCTAAGACTGATTATAAATGGTGCATTTTAACATAAACTGTGTAATTTTTACCTACCAATGAAGAAGACGGTTGGCATCGTGGAGCTAATTCGTCGACAAAAACGGTCGGAATTTTCGACATTGGTCAACCTTTTGTATTGGAAACAAGCTAGGTTTTCTTACGCCCACTGTCAGACTATATGGTACCTACCGATACAACGTCGGCCATCTCCGCCCAAGAAATATCCAGGATTGCAACTGCATGTGTAGTTCATCAGGACGTTGACACAGTTTTGATCGCAGCCACGTCCACCATTGCTAGCTGGTTGGTCTCTATACAACTCGCACTCATCAACATCTAAGGGTACAGATCGAATCAGTGTTGACATAAATTGTCCAATCTATACGAAAAAGGTGTATGAAAATGCTCACACTATAAAGAGTTGAGCATAAAAATACGACCCCGCCCAACGTCATATAAAAGTAAGAAGAAGTTACCTTTTCGGGACCTAAGACTGAGGTGCTAAATAAATGAGCTTGCAACACCATTTCTGGGTCCTTATTGAGACATCAAGATGGTCCAGGTCTTATAAGCTCCAGTAATTGTAATTTTGTACGGATTTTCGGACGTAGTAATTTATTTTTCGAAGAGAGGTTGATAGTAAAGATTAGTTGTTACCGTTTGAGCCTAAGTAATCATTTCACTGTAATGCCATACCTTGGCAGCTCTTGCCGTCACCCTCAAATCCCACAGGACAAGGTCCGCAGGTGCTATTGAATGACGGTGGGGCCTCATCAGAACAAGTTACGCCTATGAAACAAGGGTCGTCAGCGCAGGCATCATAATCCATCTCGCAGAACTCACCAGTCCAACCAGGCTTACACTGACACAACACTACCTGAGGTATCACGTGGAAACGATTCGCGTTAGTACCAGCATGCATAATCTTACTCAAGCGTATACCTTGCTTTCACCTAATTGCGTACTCACTCCAAAACGATCCTGCAGGAGATTTGTTCCACTGACGTACTGGTCGAACAGGCAAGACCCACCATTCTCACAGCTACAGAGCTTGACGACGGGCTCCATTGTTGCATTTGCCTTACCGTCTGTTGCTAGAAAACCCAGTGAGACCTTCGACTTGTTTGCTGGGGTCCACGTGAATAGACCATCTACAACAGACGTTTATTTCAAAGAAAAGAGAAAGGAAAAAGACACACTATTAGACGAACTAAGCCAGCGAACACCAATTGCTACCATTATGATACCAAGTCACCGACGTAAAGTACGATGCAAGCTGCAGTTCCGAAGCTACATCAGCATGATCTCCTCAATTACATGTACAAAATGTTTGCTTTTTTGTTACACTGTTACAAAGGTATATCATTACCAATGAAGGCTCCATACTTCCGACTATCGAAGGGGTTTCAGATTCATTAAAGCTTGGTTATTCCTCTTTTCGCTAAAACAGAGACAAACGCAAAAAGGGACAAATAAAAGAAAAGTGTTGATATCGAGTTTGACTGACCCTCATCAGAAATCGAGGCCCCTTTCACCGGTCGTAGCAGCTGGTAGGTGATGTTATCTCCATCGGGATCGACTGCTTCTAGCTGCAACGTTACCATTTGCCCCACCACAGCCTCAATGGTCTCCACGAGCGTCAGATTTGGCGGGAAGTTAGCTGACATTATGTAATATACCGGAAGGAGTTAATGGTCCATGTTGGGATGAAAGGGGAAATGCTCATTAAGATTTAGCTGAAATTAAATGGATGTCCATACTAAGGAAACGCAGATTGGTGAAGCGATTCCCTTGTAACTGAACACACACAAAAAGAGGAAGACCACAGAGGAAGGTTAAATGGGGACCAGGCCATTTACATAATGACTACTGTTAATATCTTTCATCTGATAAGGTTGATGAATGGCTTCTCAAATAAGCCATAAAAAATCCTTTCTTTTAATCACAACGGTGAGATCGGGTGTGTGGATGAAGTTATTGTTAGGTCATTACTTGGTTTGCGAGTTTCCTTCTTTGGATACAGGCATCTTGAATATACAACTGAATAAAATACTTGGAAGGCAGGATTGAAGTGAATATTTTCTGACGATAATTGCAGTGTATTTAGCATCCTTGAGATTTGACACCAGAAGAGAACCAGTGGTCCTCCACTGGTGCCAGCAATGTTCAATTTGAAGGTGCCGAGAAAAAATCTGCAACACTGCTTACTATCTGTGAATAGTGCATAGGCTGAAATTCCTGAGGAATAGAGCCGCCAAATTATAATTACCAATAATAACATTATAGAATTTATTAACTTTCTGTATTTGCATGCTTTACACGTCTCTGTTTTTCCTTTCGGTATTATAGTTTTCTGCTGAATGTAGGTACAAAACGTCACCCTAACATGTCGATAGCCCTTGGGAAAATGTCCAAGGTTGTGCAAACCACTTTTATATATCTAAACAACTTTAAAACTTTACTTTAAAAAAAACGAAACTTTAAAAAGACTTGAAGCTTAATGCCGTACTTACTTGACAACACCATATTCACGGTGTTCGTTTCATTGATTTCTAATGTGGCCATACCAATGTCGGTATCATTCAGAGCCAACGAATCGTAGAGACATACTTTGCTCGACCCGCAGACCTCCATCGCCATTCGGTACTTGTCTGGGGGTGCTTTGTCAATCAAGTCTTGCAGGAAGTCCGGTGTGAAAGTCGGGTCATTCAAGGAGTTATAGCTTCCTCGGGAGACTGGTAGTAGAACAGGGAATCCTCTTCCGCAATACGCCCTGAAGAATGGAATGTAAAAATAAGAATTATTTGCACAATATGAGTGCTGCCGTTCCCCGAACATAGTTGCGACTAAAGAGAGCCAACAAAAGTGGCTGGCAGGGATGTAGACAATTATATTGGGCAACCTATTGAGGATACAACAAAAGGGGGGTTACAATATTAGGCCTATATGCATCCAATAACAATGTGAATCAGACGGGTGCGTCAGAAGGGGGTGAACATTTTCTTACAGGTTTCGCCAAACGCAAAGAAGTCCCGTTCGAGCATTTTCCCATTTGGACCTGTGGCCGGCTGTAACGTTCCATCACGCCTCAAAGTGTCATTGTTTGGCTCACCGTCCCATACACCTGTAGGCAAAAGGTAAATTTCAGCAGATACACAGAATCCAATCATAGACTGATTCATCAGTTACAGACTGAAAAACGTTTACTATAGCATGTGCAGATAGCCACACTAACCAATAATCCAGTCTCACGCCTTTCAAAATTAAGTGATTAATCCTTTGAAGAAATTGGTGCTTTTCTTGATTGTATTCTTGATTATAAAGCATTTTTTGTTTAATTTAAAAAGTTGAAAAAAATTTCAACCAAAATGAGTCCAAGAACGTCTAGCAGCAATCATAAACTTCAAGAACATCTTTGACAAAACCTTTTAATGTACCTAGTAGTCCTTTCGTTTTGCCTTTAAAATCCTGGTTGAGTAGGACGGTGATGTTGGCCATACTGTTGTTGACCCCGACAGCGAATGTGACGTGTTCGGAATACATGACGCTCACTTTGATAGGGTCCTCCTCTCTCATCACCAACAGATTGTCAAACCTTAATCCTAAAAGAAAATCATAAAAGGGTGGTTACAAAGTAGGCCTAATGGCTATCTTAATTTCAATGTGACCGTTGGTCGACATGCACCAGAATCCACCTGAAGGGCTCAGCCGTCTCTATGTGCTACGGTTAAAGTGGCCAAAAAGGTACCGTTTAGAGTAACTGTTAAAACACAAACATCGTTTAGGCAAAGTTAAATTAAGATACTGGTATTTACCTTCAGCTGTGGGTGTGACCACGGTCCCATTGACAGTAGTTAGCAGATCTGTGGCATTACTACTCAACTTGATCTCCACCTGTTCTTGGATTAGAATAAATGTTGTTCATAATACAGTGTCCTGAAAAGTATTTGCATTTGATAAGAAGTATCTGAAACTTATTATATTATTTCCTAGTTTGTTCAATTTCGTTATTAGAGCCCGATCAGTAGTTTTTTTAGCAGGATCACAAGCACAGAACACTCTGAAAACTTTTTAAGGCATGTGGACCACTGCAAAGCGAACAGTGACTGGTATAACAAGTTAGATTATGATGAGACTCCGAGAAAACCAAGCACTATTTTTTTTTCAAAATAAAAATCCACCCACGGACCCTTAATTCTCCGATGTACTCTGCCGCAAAACCAGAGTAGACAGTTGCTTGGCTGAGTTCGCCAGTCTCTGTATCCACTGCTCGGCGGGTACGACTTTGCAGTTCAAACACCCTTTGTCCCTCGTCGTCATCGATGAGTGCGAGTGTATATTCTCCCAGACCATTGAAGGTGTATTCGAGTCCGTCAAGGGTTACAATGTGGGGATCTCCCCAGAACCACACTTATGTTAACGAGCAGAAAATAAGAAAGAATAGCAAGCAGAGAAAATACTCGAGAATCGTTTCGATTTAAAGCAAAAGCATTTCAATGCTTGATGGTAAAACATACAGCAATCCTTCTTACTTCAATAAGTAATCGAAAAGGCACATTACCGCCCCGTCAATATAATGTGTGATATTTTAGGTTTATTTATACTGTGAGGGCCTAGCGACCTCTGTTACATAACAATACGTTACATCTAATTGTTAGCGGCTGAGTTCAGGCGGCTTGTTCTCGTATGTTCACGAACAGATCAATTTGTTGTTCGTGAGTCGTACCACTGGTTATCTCCGGTTAATTGTTGCATGTAACATGCCGGCATCCATGTTTGTTCTTTCAGAGTAAACTTTTAAGATAGCTGGGCTGAACTCTTTTCTTTTTAAAAAGAAACATTCATTTCTGTGTTACGGAAAATATTTATTGTTAATTTTGCAAAACTCCCCTCCGTCTCTGGCTTTATAAGAAGTCTCGATATTTTTGCTGCTGTTCAACAAACAAAATCCCACGAGTTTTTTCGTGTGTTCTTGTAAAACCCTGACGAGGAGGCGCGTAATCCTTTTCCAGGAACTGTGTTTCTGGGTTGTGTTCCCGCAGTTCGAGCGCGAGAACAAGTAAGCCTTGTCAAGAATAGGCCACCCGGACTCGACCAGTGTAGATCCTTACCCCAGACTGGAGGATTGTATGACCTGCATGTCATGAGAGGGCGCCATTCTATGTACATGTGGCAAAGATTTGACTGAAAGCAGCAATCATTGCGAGCCTGCTGCTCTTCATCTGGAATAAAATACATCACATTTCATAATACATAAAAATTTCATCGGATGAAGCTATGGCTCAGTTACGATTTGATGCTACAACAAGAACTGTTTTATCATCTGACACTTTGAAGAGACCGCTCAGAGAGGATTTCAAAGTCTAGTTTAATGGTTTGAGGTTACCTTTCGAACCTCACACCTTCCCATTTACTGTGAAAAGAGTTTCTCCTTTGGCCTACTTTATCGTTGATTCATGCCTTCTGTAGACAATTGGATCTGAAAATCTTAAATCATCGCCGTTTATTTGTCGTCAAGAGGTTGGGATACAAGTAGCACTCCGGTGTTTATTTCTGTTTCATCATTCCAAAATACTGAACAAAAATGCAGGACAGTACAAGATGGCCAGCATCCCGTTAACACAATGAATGCACGTTCTTTACCTAGCCATTGCTGGTACAAGTCTTCCGTATAGTATACTGGACTGACTGGGAACCGTTCAAAGACCGAAGCGATGCTTGGGCTCCTCACGCCATACAGAAGATCACAGGTGAACACGTTGTAGCAGCATCGAGGGCCTGGCGTCCCAGGGAATTGAAACAGTCGAACAAAGCAAACAACAGCTAAAACGAAACACCGATAATAGTCTCTTGTTGGCAACCACACTTCAACATCGTTAATGTGAAAAACAATGAGATAAATCGTGTACAAAACTGTGGAATTGACTAGCAAGTTCAACTGAGTTGCCAGAATCTTTCTGGGCCCTCCATATTTGCATATTGTATTTCCATCTTATAGAATGTATTTATTGTATTTATTGGCAATACCTACCATGGCGCTAAAGATAAAGCATGTCATTTTTTGTTGTCCCTATTTTTAAATAATTTTGTAAGCAATACCAAATAATTATGTCACTTCTTTATACTACGGCAAGTGTAGGCCCCCTACATGAAAAGAGGAGGTGGATTGGAATACCTCCCTGAAGCAAACAGTTGGAGCATCGCTGTTATTTTTACTGTTCGTGTATAGGTTGTTAGTGAATGCTTACGTTCTCGAGGCACGTCATTATCGGACGGGGCCTTTGTGAATCGCCAGTCAAAGTTGGCACTAACTAGACTGCAAGGGCACGTGTCGGCAAATGGAGGGTAGTAGGCGTCAAATCGCGGGTAGGGTGTTTGACGTTTGTACCATGTATAGCAAGACAAACGTGGATTTACGAAATCATCTGGAAGTTTGTCAACTTTGTAGATCCAGCGTCCAAGTGTTCCCGAGTTGCCCACAGTATCACTGGGACTAAATGAAGAGTCATTAGGGCTGCCGATGTAGACAGGCTCATCTGATGTTCCGCAGGTATAACCACGGATAATGTTTAGAGGCTGTAGTGTGGGGTTCCAGTTCCAACCACAAGGATCGTAGTTGATTATGGCATAACCATGAGTCCCATCAGTAGCAAGTACAGCTTGGAAAGTGACTGTCTCCTGAACATTGGAAGAAAATAACAAACAATGGGTTGATTTACAATATAGCCTCTCCTAAATGGAATGGCATAGTTTCATGAGCTTGATATTCAAACATGCATATTTCCTGCAGCGGCTCACTGTATTTTCAATTATTATCTGCATGTATACATGTGCAAGTATAAACTAACTAAACTACTGGAAGTTTGCTTAATTAGCCTTTTGTGCGTTAAAGTTGAACAATGTCAGATACACTGCATTATCCAATTGTACATAAACATAACAATTTAAATTCCCCATAACTAAAGACACGATTGCTATACCTCTGACTTCGGGGCAAGCTTTTATAGCGACCACCGTCTCTAGAATAGGCTGGTTCCTTTGTACCCTTCTTATTCATTGAAAACATGGTATTGGGGCAAGGCGTCTCTTATTTAACTGAGCAAAAGCTGCCCCAAATCACGAAGTATAGCAACAGTGTCTTCAGTGCGGAGAATTAAAATTAGTATGTTCACCTGAATTTAAAGAACTCAGTTTTAACAGATTTTATTCTAATTCAACTCGCAAAAGATTAACTGACATGGGATACAAATAATGGCTCCCTTCTAAATATTCAGCGTCAGTGCAAATCAACTGGTTTTGGTGCACCATACTTACGAGTGAAGCCGTCGTTACTTGTACGATGTTACTCCGGACATTACTCCAGGTAATGACAAGCGCCCAGTTTGCTCTGAAATCGCTGTACCTGGTTGAAACTACGGCACTAATAACATCCAACATGGCTTGGTTGACGCCGAGGTCGTTCCTGTAAACCTGTCACACAGGGACGAAGTGTTGGTGGGGGGGGGTTAATAACAGTACACGTTCCGCAATACAATCGGAAAAGAACAGCACGTTTCTCAGAGGTTTAAAACTTTGGTTACTGACTTTACCAAATCTTTGTTTTACACCGTGAGAGCATAGGATAATATCAATTGACATGTAGATGAACTTGAGAGAAGTGGTTTGAGGACTTCTTTATACCATAAATTGCCGCAAAGCAATTGCAAGCCCAAGGAAAAAATCTTGTTAAATTCCACTCATAGTTCCCTCACACTCTGCATTTTGGGAAAATAGTTTTGAATAAGTTCGGGGAAGTTTACTCGAAATTAGTCAAATAAAGATTTTACACTAAAGCCACAGTTTACAACAAAATGTAAATTTATATCAAGAAACAAACAATTTGAATGAATGAAATAGGGCACTTTACCTGCCAGAAAACATCACTGGTATCAGTGAATGCATTGCTGTTGACGTCCGCCCAAAGGGGAGTAATCATTTTGCCAGTTCCGGAGTAAGATGGACTTTTGGCACCCGGAAAGGAGAATTTGTCAAGTTTTGGCTCCTCAGACAAAAGGATTACGCCATTGTCAGTGAACTGAAGGTGCAAAAGAGTATGCATAAATAAGTCTTCACATAATCTAAGACCTGGGTATTAGATGAGTGGAACAGCTGGAAAATTAAAACAAAAGCTAATCCTCTTTCAAAATTACAAAGAAACCAAATCAAACAAAACAAAAACACCAGAAAGAAAGAACTGTCCGTACGTGCAGTTACGTGATATAGAAGGAGTTTAGCCAAGTGCTAAGACTCAGAGAATATTTGCAAGACCGTTGCCAAAAAGGCTCGTTTTGTAAAATCAGCTAAAAATCTTGCACCCGTCAAAATTGCACTGTTAAAACAACGTTGAGAGTATAAACACCTGTTTATACCCACTTTTTCCACACGTTCAAACTGTCCAAAGACATGAACAAAGTTACATGTACCGGGTTTGTACATAACGTCAGAGTGATTTCACCAAATGTACTCAATACCATCATCGATTATAGGATACTTACATAAATCTTGTCAGAAAGCCCTCGACAGAAAGGAAAGAAATGCGGAGGATAGATGGTTTGAGATATCAAGTCCTTCTCGCCGGTATGATTTGGCTGTAAGTAAACCCGTAATTATAACTTCACAAGCGTCTAATGTATCTCAGCAGTTCTTAACTAGAAGGAATAATTTAACGTTAGAAGTATTGAAACATCAACCACTGATTTATACAGCTCAAATCATCCGGGACATCAGGGGCATTCTCCAAGCACCGTCTTCCAGAAAACTCGACCAAACAACCTTTGCCCGGAATAATATCAACGAAACCCACAGATCGCTCTTTATAAATAGCATTTTTCACCCTAAAAGAGCTAGGGGCGGAATATACACCCCTCGACAATTTTCAAATATAGTCTCAGTACATTTTTTCCACATGTCGAATCTCCACAATTATATTTACCCTAACAGTCACAAATCCTCCAATTTCAATACAATTTTACATACACCCTTGGGGTTAGGGTTATGTAACTTCTTCATGTATTTTGACACCAATATTGTGAAAATGTGACTCATCAGTCAGCAAAAAAATATACTTTTCCACTGATGTGATCAATGCACACGGGCTGTGTAGTCCTGAACTTTAAATTAGGGGGCCTACCGTAACAACGAAGCAATTGATCAAATTGAGTCGAAATTTGACATTTACAGATGATAGCATCTGGTAAAAATGTCAAAAATAAATTGGGCATTACACCTTTGGGTGGAATCTACTCATCGACAGTTAGATGGTCCAAAATAGCCTGGCTCTTTTAGGAATAAAGAATAAAGAGAGTTCTACATTTTCCTTGAGCGATGCTCGCAAAATATACCTGTGATTCATCTGACAGTCGCGCGTCACCAACGTCTGGGCCATAGGGAATAAGATTGCCCTCTGAAAAAGACAAACACACACAGCTGTACAGTAATCAATATAGAATTCTAAGCTTTCTTATACCCCTTACCAACCCAGTTCTTATCGTGGACCAACAAAATGTATACCAGTACCTCCGTTTCACTAGTGCTACCAGTTAAAAACTGACCACCCCGTTGTCGAAAAGAAGCAGGGTATGTTGTTAGTCTCTGAGTGACTGAAAACATGCCAGCCGATTTGTGGAAATATCTGCAAACATCACGTTCAAACGTTTGGTTACCAAAGAAAAGGTATGTTCTTCCCGCCCAAGCCATTTTTCCGGGTATACCAAAGTGCAGTTCCAACGTTGGACGGGGTATAACAAAGTATAAGCCCTATTTCAGACAATACACTCCACAAAACGTGTAACCTATCTCTCCACAAGCTTTACTGTATAAACGTAAAAAATCAACCTCTTAACAAAGGATCCTCCTTGTGATTATTTTTGTCTTACGTGTGATACTGAATTTAAAACTCTTGGGTGTCATGCAGCCAGCATCGTCAGTTGCAACGCATGTAATGGTGTGCAGTCCTGGTCCAAATGTACCTCCAGTGACGCTGACATCGACGCCATCACCGGAATCTGTACAATCAATGATTACTTCCCCAGTGTCCATAGCATACACCTCATCCCATGTCACAGTTGATGTGGTCTTGCCTGGATCGGTACACTGATCAGCCACTTCTGGTACCCACAGATTTGGATACACTGTGCAAAAAATGTATTTTCCACCTTGTTTTAGAACATATACATTTAAGATTACAAATTCCAACATTAACCCCCCCAAAAAAGAATGAACCTATAATAATTATGAACGATCTGCAGATTTATAAAAATCATGAAACACGGCCGTTACGTTTTAACAACATAAAAAACTATAGGCCTAGCATTTAAACACCCTCAACCCGTTCATTTGTGACCGGAGGCAATGTATCCTCGCATGGTAAAATTAATCCAACCATGCTTTCTTGGCAGTGGACAGACTGCCTTGATCCTAAAGACCAATTTTTACCTACCAGACACACTGAACGAAATTAAGCAATCTGAGAAACCACCGCTGGCTGACGAGCAGACCACGTGGTGTGTTCCAACGCCAAAACTTCCGCCTGAAGTAGTCCCGGTGCTCCCATCCTTCACATTCATGCATGTGATATCAGTTCCAAGTGGATCATTGTCCCCGGAAAGCGTCCAATTAACAGTCGCAGGTGAAGCTCCGTCATTGCAACACTTGTTATGAACTTCCGGACACTGAAGGGAACCTTCATCTTCAATAAAATCAAAAGAGAAAGTATGAAGTAAAGATTGAAAATCACATCGAGAGATTACGTGTTTCCATCACAAGAAACTCATGTCGTAATAAGATCTGGGCGGTCATCTTGTGGCTAGTTCCTCTAAAGTATTCCTTCTTCCCCAGCAGCACATCAGATCTTCCGTGCCACTGTGGAACAATTCCGTTCTCGACCCTAGTCACAAAGAGCACCACTTGTTCCTTCTCATTTGAAACTTGCTGATCATTTGCCATAAAAAAAACTCACACAAACAGGCAGATGTGTAATTTTCAGTTGACATAATAAGAAGCATTGCGCGAACGCAGACTCAGAAAGACTCACCGGCATCACAGCGTGGACCAGAGTGGCCCGGATTACACTTATCGACGTCTGTGCAGTTTGGGAACGGTGTGGCTGGACCGGTGCATTCCGTCCCGTCTTCTGACTCTGTATACAGAAAATTGTCACAATTAATACCTTTTCTTAACAATAACTCAAGCAGAAAGGATTCACAACAAATGGACAGACGAAGTGTAGGCTTCTGGCGGATTTGAAATGTTTCTGTTGAGATTTGAGTAATGCATTTACTTAAGTCTACCAAGTTGCCCAAAACAGACTAGGCCGCGGGGTTGCGATTCTTTTCCTGTCTAGTTCATGTTCAAAAGCTTTTACGGTTGACGTACGAGAACAGTCATGCCCGCAGTAGCTAGAGGAGCAGGTGCAATTCGGTGCCTCGTGGGACAGACATATGCAATTCGGGGGGTTGCCTGTTGCTTCACAGAATGATGCATCTGTTTTTAGAGAAAAAATATCGATACCCCGATTTATTCAATTTTTTAACAACATTTTATCACACTATGTTTTCAAAGACCATATTTTATAGGTTAATTTTTTTTTAATCCACAGTTATTAGTGTGACGAAGGGGCGGATCTAGGGGGCGTGGTTGGCTCACGGCTTCCACTTTTTCACCACAAAAATAAATAAATGAATAAATAAATAAAGAGTAGAAAAAGATGGAGGGCCAGAAAAAGGAGGGACCCAGTCCCGCTAAGCGCTCGCGAACATTTTACCATTGTTTCTTTAGTTTATGCCCCCTCCCCTTTTGGAAAATCCTGGATCCACCCCTATGACCTGTTCACCCATGCAAGTTCCCTAAAGACGAGGACTCTTGTAGATGAAATGATTGATGTGTCTTGTCAATGCCGCCTCAGAAGTGAAACACCAAGTACGAAGAATGTGTGACCACCTTCAAATCCCGAACTTAACCCCGTCGGGATAGCATTGTACCGTGTGAAAAGATGAAAGGACTCATTGAAATATTGACCTGAGTCTGAACGAAAGAAATTACGAAAGATGAGCTGAAATCGTTACCGACAGTTATTTGAATACGGTTTATCAAACAATCACTGATTAGGCCTGTTGCAAATTACATGGTCTTAGGTAACCCCGAGCTATCTTCGGATGTAGCTGTTGCACTGACGGGAACCTACAATCTGCTCTGAGAGTAATCTAGGATGATCAAGACAATATTACACTAATAAATGAACTCCATTACCTGGGACAGAAGCAACTGTAATGTAAGTTTCACAATCTGAGGTACCGGATGATTCGTCGGTGGCATTGTAGCGCAATACATATGGAGACTGTTCAAGATAGAAGCTGACTGTATCAGAAACATTATAGGTGGAGCCGTCGATATGAATGGTGACCGAAAATACCCCTGAGTTGTCAGACACAGAGTCTGCGTCAGGAAGTGCAACTGATGAAAAGGTCTTTCCACAAGCTGTGTAAACGGTCATATTTGCAGGACAGGATATGTTTGGGGCCTCCGTGTCTGTTGATAACAAAAAGAAAAAGATCTTCAAAAACAGAATTTTAACAATAGATGTGCCAACTCTGAAGAAGTAAATTAAAATGTTCCCCCTCACTATCTTTCGGTCCTCCTGCAAAGGATGCATTTGAAATCACGGAAGATTAGTTTATAAATAAGAGTGCCGAGAATGTTTTAATTAATTGACCATGTCTGATCGATTTCAGAGATTATACTTCACCCGTGCATGAGGTGCCATTTCCCGAATAGCCCTGATTACACGTGCAGACGTAGTTCCTGGAGTTGTTGATGCATATTGCGTTGACATCACAGTTGAGCGATGGTGAATTAGGATCACATTCATCAATTACTTCTGGAACAGGTACGAGAATGACATAATACGTGTAAAGCATAGCTTTCAACTCCCTAAAAATATCAAAGTTAAAATCACTCAGTGCTAAATCACTATACTTACATCATTAGTATTTGGTAAATCTCAATGGAAAGTCGAAGAGTATGTAAAACACCTGTCATCACCCCTACATTGGAAGACGTTGGAGTACTTACACCTATCAATGCACGCTCCACGGGCGCTAGCTTCCTTGGAAGGCTTGTAGAAAGTACACAAGATGAAATTGCATTACCTGGCTGTATAGTGCTCAGCTCCATGTCCGGTTGACCCTTGCAGACTGACCTAAAATCTTTGCAGCAGTCGTCAAACTGGACACAAGCATCGTCGCACCAACAAGCTCCAAGTCGAGGGCCATCCAAGAAACAACGACCTTCACAGGAGTCTTTAAAAAGTAACATGTTGAGAGGCAGGTGTTGTTATTCTTAATTGTTATACCAAACTCACGAGTAAAAATATCATGAGTACGTAATACACACATGTATTCATATAAAGTATACTAGTTACCGCAGTTACGTTCATCAACTCCACCGAAACAGTCAGACACGCCATCGCATACCCAGGCACCATTGAGGCAGACAGAATGTCCACAGTGAAACTCCGACGAAGAACAGGTTATGTTTTCTGATACATCCAGAGAAAAGTGCTGATTAGTTGTTTACTTAACAAAACTGAAATTTCTAGACACATCGGTGTTGTCTTGAAATCACTAACTTTTTAATTTGAGCAAGTGTTGATTAGTTTACTCACCGAAATTGAAGGCATGCGGAAGACCATCAACCACAATTAGTGTTCTAAATTTTAATTAGTTACAATTTCTATTTTAATTAAGGCTTGATAAGAAACGAAAACTTGACATTCAAAACACTTTAAAAATGTAAAGAATACCCCTTCCCAACAAACAAACAACAGTTCCAACATGATCTCAAAGTGTGGCAGCAATGAATTTATGCAGACCCCATTTCATGCAATTTTAAACTCTTCTTCAATGTGTGAAAATTATTTGATATCCCTTTTCGGTTGAATGCTTTGAAAAGTGTAATTGTTAAAACATTAAACTTTGAAATTGCCATTGCTGTGATGTCATCTATAGGGAAAAAATTGTATATATACTATGTTTCCATACATGTTTCAGTGCACAGGCTTTTCCGTTCAAATTTTCTGACTCCCGAATTAACTCAATGAAAACATTTTTGAGAAAGGTTATGGCGCTTGCTTTAATACTGCCATGTACCTACACAAAACTGAACCAATGGAGAAAAAATTGACGCCAGCAAAATCTTTAAAACTTAAGCACCCTTTTGTGAACACAGACCTTCCAGTGCAACATTGAGATTCTCTTCCTGGGATGACATCACACTTTTGCTTATGAATAACAGAAACACTAATTAGCATTAAACCAAAAAGGCAGCAAAATACTAGGAGGTTCATTCCAAAATGAGATCACCATTGAAATACTGAGTAATATTTCTCCAACTATTGAATATTTAAGAACAAAGAGAGTGTTCCAGGTCTTCCTAAGTTCTATTTTGCACTGTTCTTTTTGCACTCATTCAATTATATTATTAATCAAACCCCCCCTTCAGAAACTGCCTGGAGGTAAACTCGTTATTACCCTGTTTTGAAATAAACTCTTTATAACCTTTTAAACAATGAAACAACAATTGAAAACAAGGTTAACTGAGAAGTAACGGTGCTCTTTCGAGGTTTCTGTTGACCAATATTACATAGTAGTTATCATTGAAGCAATTAATGTGGTCATATAATTCCCTTTGTGACCGCTCTCATACTGGACACTTTTTGTATATTTTTTCCCTCAGTGGGTTTTAAAGATCTTAGATTTTTACTTAATAACATATCTGTTATTCTTTGAAAATGTATTATTACTTTTAAGATTATTCTTAAAACTTGGCAGGCATGCAAGCAAGCCACTCCTTAACAATACAAATGGGAAGTTCCCACTGAAATCTGACATATAGTCTTGTTGCGGTCATTTTAAGTTCAAGGCCACACGCGTGCATTGGGTGGTGTGAAAGTACACACTTCGGTTGACCAATCTCGGAAAATGGTCGCTGCTCGAAAACGGTGATGTTCGATATTTCACAAACTTGGTGTCAAAATGATCGCGCTGCAGCAATATCTTAAAAATGTCGAGAGAGGAACGAGTTCCCCTCCCAGCTCTTTTAGGATTAATATAAGCAACAACATTACAAAACAAGAAATTCGGCAAGACATCGTAAACTGTGCGATTCTTACCAGTTGATGGTACACTGGCGGCTTGCAATTCAAACGGTTGCCCCACAGATGCTTTTCCAGTTTCGAAGCTCAGCCACATTGCACTTCCGTTAGAAAGAATACTAGGAGCAAGTCGCCTTCCACTCCAACTGAAAAATACGCCTGTGCCATTGGCATTGTTTGAACCGTCCCCGGCTCGGAAGATCCCATCCTCGAACACAGTTCGAAAATAAGAGAAGGTGAGGAGAATCTTCCTATCTTCCTGCGTCTGGATCACCCAGGTTGCGTCAAGGTTTCGGGGAGTTAAACCAAACGATCTGTACCACGGAGGTGTTATGTGGAGTGTTCCCACTGCAGTGAGGTTGATGTTTCCTGACGAGGCATTAATTGACAAAGAACAAGGTAAACAAACAATGTCAATTTTAAACATACGTCCGCAAACAAACTGATCATTTGTCGTGTTTAATTACAAATCATGCATACCATAAAGACATCTCAGCTTTTCTATCTGTGCCACTGTGATAGTGTCATTCACTGCATTTTTCTTCATCTATCGCGTTGTAAGAATGCAGTGCATTTTTTCTATACTCGTATAGTTTCAGATCCGGTATACCTTTTTGATGAAAAATATTCCAAACTAAACTAAAATATTTAAATGGACCTTTATCACAACATTGCGGATGATGCCTCTGTCACTTCTATCAATACACAGCATTCACCTAATAAATTTGAATTTGTCATAATGTACTTTCCAATTGTGGTACAGAAAATGCAAAGGAGATCCGTACGAACCCCGGTACAAATTTGACTTAGTTAAGTTTAATTAAATATTAAATTAGTGCCTCTCTTTCTTCAGGATAAATCGGCACAACTTTGACAAGTTTGGACACAGCAAAATGTTACACACCGTAAAGCCCTTTCCTTTAATTTACATGATTAATATGGCCACAGAAACTGTGTCAGAGGCACAATGACATTCCCTGCATCTGCCACACTATGTAATGCGCAGGGTCTATACTATCCCAAATAACTTGCAAAAACACAGTAAAGGATTGAACGAATCACACTATTATATCTGTTTTGCACAGCTCCATTGGACGATTTTTGAGACGTTTTAAATGGCAGCAAAATAAACAGTCCAACGAAACCCGTCTGATATTATTTCTATCGTTTTGAGCATAAGCAGGTGGTTAGCTCAAATGTGACTCAAACAAGAGGAAAGTACCCGCATGTTTGCCATTGTCAATTGTTCCAAAAGTTCCAGTAAGATTGACATAACTTTCTTTGTTTATACACAAGGAAAACAAATAATTTCCATGCATTTATCTGCTATTCTAAATTTTATTGAACAGTGCATATCTAATAACAAGTAATGTATATAAATAGGCCTTGTAACATTATTTAGCATTGAAGATTTACCACAGTTGAGTTCATCACTTCCATCCAAACAGTCAACTATATTGTCACACTGCCACTCACTCCTGATGCAAACAGAATGTCCACAGTCAAACTCGTCTGAAAGGCACGTCAGATTTTCTGTAATAAAGAGAGTTATTCAACTATTTTATAATAACTAATGGGTATCCCCTTAAAGAGTCGTGTTTCTTCGGACCATAGCTGGGGGTAGATTCGCTCCCCCGAGAACTCAGTTGTCCCATGCCCGATCGCTTTCAATTACATGCATGCACGGACATTCATTAAATGTTTTTATTTCATCTGCGAAGTATAGTTAAAGAACACTTGCCACCGTTTACCAGAAAGCACTTCACAGATGACCTTTAACAGTTCCTTCTATTTGACTGCCAACTGGAAACATTTCACGTTAATGTTTAGCTCATTTCATAGTAGTTTATAATAATAGAAACAGCAGACTTTTCAGTAATGTGAGGAGCTGCCCGAGGTTGATCGTGAGCGGAGCACGCCCTCAACCCTTTGCCTTTACATTTATATTGATGCATGGCAACGTCTCCGGTCACTTTCAGTCTTAGCCTGTGTTTCTACGCCTATATTGGAAACAGTTCTGATATGGTGAATGCACTTGAATCAGCTGGAATTCCCCCAAGACACCTTTGGTTAGTCTTTGTCGAATATCTGGATTTAATTTCACGGTTGTTTCAAAGTGACGGAAGGGGCACTGTATGTTTTCACTATATTTATACCGCGCTTGGATACGCCATTCCCTGCTCGTTTTGCTGAGCCCGCTGTGTCCGGCGCGCCCTCCTCTTCCATGACCGACGCTCTATGCACGGAAGGTCTGACTTTCCGTCAACGTTTTGCCTGCTCAGAGGCTTCAGACCTGAGCCTTTGGACCATTCTTTTGAAACCTGAGATTCATGGTGTTCGGGTGAGTTGGGTTTTATAAAGTTTGGAAATCCTCGTGCCGGTAATTCATGATTTTTGTACTCAATTATTTATAAATTTCAGCCGTTTACAAAAGGCCTCTTTGTCTTGCACGATCACGTGGTCTACTCGTTCACATAGCCCACTGTGGGTGCGTTCGATTAGCTAGCTTACAAGTGTAAGTCAAACTTACACGAGAGCGTTCGTTTAGCCATCACGTGATCCTTGTGCCTGACCTGGTGTCAGGCACCATTAAAGTTGAGTACATATGGGGAGCCGGGCCCGTGCACTGTGACCCCCCCTAACTTAATGACACCAATATTTTTAGGTGCATTTTAAGGTCCTGTAACACATTATAGATGTTAACATTGGAAAAAACCCGATGCTCTGAGGATATCCAAGATGGCAGCCAAAATGGCCACCAAATATAGTCCGAAAAAATGGGAAAAGGCATTATATCAGTCAAGTTATATACAAAACTGTAAAAAAAATTGTTATTTACATGTTCTGTGCTCTCGAAAACTGTTTTTTGGGTGATCTTTCTTTGCCGTTATGCTTAACACTCAAGATAAAGGGCTGTAAGGATCACCGATAGGGACGCCAGAATTGGCAAAAAGTGATAAATCGATAAATTTCAGCCATAATTGCGGTAAGTTGTACATTGAACGCATACATTAAATAATTTGGTTCATGTTTTCTACCCTTATTAATTTGTTTTTAGCATCCTTTGTTTTTGTACCACTGATCCCATTAAAAAATGGCTTCCAGTGAGGCTCCCAAGTGGCAGATTTGAAAAAAAGCAGTGCCTCCTAGTTTCGGCCCAGAATGTACCTCATGAGTGACTAGGAAATGTATGTGAATGATGAGATAATTGTGACTAGTTTCAAATGAAAATTGTGGTCCAATAAGAGTTGTAAATCTAAAATAAAGAGAAATTATGAACAGTAGGCCCCCTACATAGAAATTGAATAACTTTGAATACTCACTTGGTGGGATAAAACAAATTAAAATTTTAAAACATTTTGATTTGAGGTATTCCCACTGCTATGACAAAAGTTGAGAGGACAAAAATGTCTAAACTTAGTAAATCGTCGGACAGGAACAAGAAAAAGGCCAGCCGTTTAACACCACCATCTTCACCCAGCTCTGGTTCAAACATCATTTACGGACAGTAACAACGCCATGACGCCTCCAGTGACCAAGATTCTCTACTTCTTTCACTGGACCAGCCGTCCCCTGAAACACCTATTAACACTGAACGAGTCTCCCACCGCCTGATGGCCAACTCCAGTGGGTAAAGAATCTGGCAGAAAAAAATCCGAACCGACTGGTCTTTGGAAAGAACCACACCACCCGACAAACACGTCTCCTATCAAAGGCAATCGAGACCTAAACATCGCCAAACTACACTGAGATCAGGGTACGTCCACCTTGGCCACATCACTTACTCAAGCTCCAGAGTTCATTCTTCGAAGGGTCTAGGAAACTGCATAAATGAACGGCTAAACCTGTTCGATTACTCCACTCGTCAAGAGGACTGAAGAGGGAGCACCCTTACTAAACAATCTCCTCAAGACCATCACATCCTCCAAAGAGAGATTTCCAGCCACTGCTACCCTACATAATTTCAATTGAGGAATATCACAAAGAAAACCCTCATTTATTCCTTATTATCGTTAAACATGTCTGAATTCAGGAATACAGTCACATACCCCTGAACGATATTTCCTTTCACTCCCAAACCAAGTCAAAGCAGTGACCATGAGAAAACTAAACAAAGAAGAGAAGAAGCATTCAATGAAAAAAGGAAAGTTTCTTCACAGCATACCGAATAAAAGCTAAGACTACCAAATCCAACCGGATGTCTTTATTAGCGGAACAATATGACGCATGTGTGGCCGACCTATCTGAAGCGACACTAACACAAACCATAAAGATCGCTTTAGGAAAAGGTCTCAACTTTATTCCCACCTCCGCTAAAACAAACCGCACCACGCTCGTAAGTGACGTGACGCTTTTAATCGAAGACAAAGTATTGCATTTAAAATGTACAAAAACGATCTACAATCCATCCTTTCCGACCGCCATCAACCAAGCATCCAAAATCAACACCTAGTGCAACACTAGAATAATTGGAAGCCACTAAATTCATGCCGAACGCCAAGGCTAATAAATTACAAAAGATGCAACGAACCGTACAAACCAAACAAGTCTTACAACACCTACAATTCAATCTGATATTTACTACCGTGATCTACAGGGTGTCCAAGAAAAAAACCAAATCTTGAGGAAAGGGGTTAATATGCCCAAACCATGATATATGATCATGATGTATAAGGATCTCCGAAAAGTAGAAGCAGTATTCTTTCTAATGATGCCTTGATGGTATCCCTTCTGCCGTGCATGACTGAACACCATTGTCTTGAAAATGGGGCATCCGAACTCAGTTGTAATACACTTAATAAACCAGTGAATGAGATTGCCCTCAGTCATGCTTGTCCTGGACAAGATATCAGAGCACACTGATTATTTACACAGTACGTAATTCACAGTTAATTATGCACCGACACCATCCTCGTGTTCGCCTTCCGATTGTCAACCATTCAAGAAACCTTTCATTGGCCTGACAGCGTTCCAGGAGCCATTGAGCAAACTCCCGTCTCCTCCTGAGGTCTCCACGCAAAAGTTGGTGGCGGATGTGCATTCGGTGTGGATGGAAATGCAGGTCTAACTGCGTTACGCGGTTAAACGAAGAATGGGACAGTCCAAGTCCCTTCCTCCTGCAAATGGTTCCCCTTGGCTGTTCGAGAAGTTTCTGGCGAACTGCAGCAACGTTTTCAGGACTTTGCACTGTGCGCTTCCAACCCGAATGAATATTCAAATTAAGGCTTGTCCCGTGTTCTCGGTATTTGCGCACATTTTCCCATATGGTCAAGTTTGCCGGTGTATTCCTATCAGGGAAGGCTTCCCTAAATGCAGCTTGGGTGGCTTGAAAGCTCTTGTTTCCAAGGAATTTCGTCACGAAAAACACTCTGCTCTTTGGAAAGTTGCACCATGTTACAGACTAGACTTGCTGTCCTACTTCGAACACTTTTCAACACCGCACTGGCCTACCTCGGGGCAAGTCAACACATTTAAACCAGATTACTGCATAACTTGAAAGTGACAAAAGGCAATCTTCCCTCATTAACGTGACTTTTGTTGTCACTTTCAACCAGGGCAAGCATGACAAAGGACAACCTCATTCACTGGTTTATCCAAAGTGTTACAACTGAGTTTGGATGCCCCATTTTCAAAACAGTGGTGTTCAGTCGAAATCGAATTACCTGTCCGACCAGCACACAGACGCCAATTTGTACGCAACAAAGCAGCTGAAAAACATCATTAAAATTAAAATGGTTTTGGCTGAAACCACGAAAGCTGGAGACTTTTCGGTAATTTTCTATTCAAGCTGAACTATATTAATCTTTCGAACAATGTCTATCTCTCTCCAACAATTTCTCGTCAAAGCCAGCTTACCAGGCAATGGAAGTGCCCGTCTGACAAGCGTATATACTTTATCAACAAGTACCTTTATATATTGAAATTCTAGTGACTTTACCCCTGCAAGAAATGCTTACCGTTAAGCGGAACACTGTGAGCGAGTAAAGAGAACCCGTTGTATCTACCACTTCCGTCAGATATGAACCTCAGCCACATTGTACTCCCACTGGAGAGCAGATCAGGTGGTTCTTTTATCCAGCTCCACTGAAAGAATGCGCCATCTGCACTGCTGTTGCCATCACCCGCGCGCACAACATCGTAGCGATATTCTGTTCTGAAGTAACTGAAGATCAGCCGAACCCTCCGGCCCTGCTCTGTTTGGATTATCCAAGTGAGGTCTTTGTTGTTGCTGTAGTAGTGGTATGTGGACTGACGTGGGGATGCAAGCAAGGCCATTTCGGACTCCGTGACATAAACTTCACGATCTTCGTCTAACATTGACAAAATAGGAATAAAAAATTACTTCAATACAGCTATGCATGTCAAAAATGTGACACAAAACTCTTGAGTGTGACAACCTGAAGAGATCGTTCATGTAAATGGGAGGCACTTTTTAAGTCACAACATACTCCGAAATGCCTTGTTTACCAAGTAGGAGTCAGCTCGGCCTATGTGAAAGTGGGTAAATACAAAGAATGTGACAAAACTAGTTCTTTATCAAAAGAAATAATAAAGAGGAAATAAAACGAAACAGTTTATTTGAAAGTTCCTCATCCACAGAATGATAGACTATTAAAACAAATAATGGGGCAAGAAAATTTCATAAAATAGGCACCTATTCATGTGTCTGCAGAAAAATGAATATAGGGCCTACAGATGCTATATCACTAAATGGGAAAGACCTAACTGTTACTCGCACAAAATTCTCTCACCTGAAAGGTTAGAAAAATGATAGGGGGCGGTTCGCCATGTTGCCTCGAATAAAAAACCGAACGGTTCTGTATTTTCGGTGCATCCTCAATGGGATGTCGTTTGTATGAATCACCGTTTGTATGGATGCCTCATTTTAAATTGGACAGCGTGGAGTAAAATTAACCGCCCAAGACATGGCCAATGAATTCCCAAAGTGCTGGTGGATGGGAGAAAATATGCCTGTAAACGACAAAAGATTTGTGTTTTACAGGCTTTGGGGGTATCCAAATGTAACTGATCCAAATAAAAAAAATGAGGATGAAAATCCCCGTTAAGAGAAGGACAGATGGTCAAGGAACAAAGCGCTGAGGAGCTTTTAACCAATTCAACTGTAGCTGGTTTGTGATTACTCCAGGGAAGTCAAACTTACAAATTACAGTTGAGCCAAACCTTAAGGTGGAAAGCAATGTTGATCATACCACCGTAATGCAGTAGACCTACAGTCAATGAAGAATTAGCTTGGACAACTTTGGATAAACTATCCCATAATAACGAAATATAACGCTTGATTAGAGCGAACAAATGAGCCTACCACAACGTTGTTCGTCTTTTCCATTGATGCAGTCACGACGATTGTCACACTGCCAGGCGCTCTGTATGCAGACAGAATGCCCACAGTCCAATTCTCCTGGAGAACACACTACAGTTTCTAGAATACCAAAAAGTGGCAAGCACAAACAATACAGGTTCCAGGTAAAACATAGTGCTATTTACAAATCAACTTTACAAGTTTGAAAAGGTTGCATTAACATTGCCTTTCAGCAGAGGCAGCGAAGGGATGTGGCATTATTATATCAGTTTTACATGCACAGTCTTGTTACCAAACGGTGTTCATCAATTAGCAGTAAAGTGTGACTGTTCTTCAGTTTCCCTCAGTGTTCATTTCAGTTTTGAAATCTGTTTGAATGCAGCATACCCCAAATGACTTAGTTTGTGGCCAGGCCTGTCGTGCTGGCGTTAAAGCGTTCAGCCTGTTTGTGTATCCAGGTTCGTATCAAATTTGTGATCTAAGCGGCTGTCTAGCGTCTCTGATACAGACCGCTGTGGGGTATTTTGGCATGTAATTAAATAACTTGTATTGCTACCAAGTGCAGCTAAATGATCCTTTGCTGTTATTGAGCAACGGTTAATCAGCTGGATTTCGAAGTTATAAGTATAGACAGAAAAGAAATCACAGAACTTTATAAAATATTTCATGGCCTGGACTGTATTAAACCAGGCCTTGGCTTTATGCCACATTAGTTATACACCAGCCACAGCTGTTTAGACTGCAAATTATGTTTAGTCCTGGCCATTTGATGCCCCTTTACTGCATCTGTTCATTATATCTGATGACGTAGTTTGTTTACAAAGGTTTCAAAGTTGAAAATGCTGTGGGTTTTTTCAAAGCGTTACTAAACTAACACACATTTGGCGATATAAAACAAATCAGGTAGTGCACATTCAGACTAGATCATTTATCATATTCTTAATCTTGTCTTAAATCCTATTTATCCAAATGTTCAAATCACAGAAAGATTCACTTTTTGTATACTAATTATCGTGTAATTAATTTCTAAAGAAAATCTATCATTTCCTTAACAAACATAAGAAATCCGTAGGAAATTGTTAAAGAAATTCAACAACGATTCATTAAAAGGAAAGTGAATTTATAAAAGGGTTGTTTCTTTGAAGTTTCTTTACATTTTCTTAACATATTCTAAAGCAATTTTGTCTTCGGAACCAAATTTCTCGAGATACTTTAAGCACTGTTTATGAAGATTCTGTAGAATTTTCTTTTGTAAAATGCCATTGAAAATTTACATACGTGAGTGAAATACATACGACAAAACATGGATTGCTTTCATACACCGTGATCCTGTGTGAACACGGCCGTTTAATCCTCCCGGCGTGATTAAACGTGTAGCAGCCGTCAAGCGGACGACGTTATAAAGAGGCTGCGTACACTTTGCATACACGATTTTGTGAGCATCTGAATGTTACCTCTTGAGGATACACTAGAAGCCGTAAGTGAAAATCCAGGTCTGGTATTGTAACTGTCGGACGTGAACCTCAACCACATGGTGTTCCCACTGGACAGAAGATCAGGGGGCAGTTTGTAGTAATCAGCCCACTGGAAGAACGCGTTACTAGTCATGTTGCCGTCACCAGCCCGAAGATAGTCACCATACCAGTGTGTACTGAAAGCATGAAAGGTCACGTTTATCTTGCGATCTTCATCCGTTTGGAGGATCCAAGTAATGTCCACATTATTAGGATAGTTGTTGGGATAACCTGTGGAGACTAGCTGAGTGGTTTCATTTTCACCGATGAATATGAATCGTGGGCCGTCTGAATATGAAACGGAAGGAACGATATGATAGGAGTGATATCAGTCATTAGAACATACATTTTTGTTTTGCGAAAAATGAAACTGTCAAGACGAATGCACAGCAATATAACAGCTATCGACAAGATTGGACTTCCACTTTTTAGAAAAGAGGAATTTCTGACTCTGGCCTATTTAATGGATCAGGCATTTGTACATCGAACATATTTTGTTTGGCTTGGTAGATAACTATTTTTTTCGGCTGAAGTAAGTGGGTCCTTTTGGGAATACTCAAGACGATCACCGTTAACTGCCTTGATTCTATTGGCAACGGGACACGCTTTGCTGTGTTATCACAGCCTTAATCAACATTTCCCAGAAGTGGCGTAGTAGAGCGTGCATCATCTACAGCATGGACGGTGCATTACCTATCTGTCTCCAGTTTGAGCTCTGAAATTAGAATTCGTTTTGTTGGGAGTAAGTTAACCAAAAAAGGTCCAATAGAAATATGGCCGGTACCACTGTTTGTTTATGCTTGCCAGTTCATGTCTCTAGCGTTTAGCACGGAGACAAAAAAGTGAAACATGTGCCAAGACTAATAAGAATACAGGTCCGGAATAATTGCCTCGACTCAACACTTTACAGACAATGCTTGCAAATCATTAAACTTATAGTTTAATTGAATCACACTTCTTTGGTGAGAGTTACCACAATCATGCTCATCACTTCCGTCGACGCAGTCTGTCAAATCATCACACTGCCAGCCCGCAGGTATGCAGACTGAATGACCACAGTCAAAATCGCCCTGAGAACACACCAGAGTGGCTGTAAAAAGACCATTGGGTGACAAAAAAGATTAAACACACCATCACTATAAATAAATGTTTTCGGGACATGCCGACCAAGACCAAAATGTCTCCGAATGTCGCGTTTGGCTTCTACATTTAACTTCACTGACGGTCGCATTTACGGTAAATATGCTTGGACACAATTTCAAAACATTCGGAAATTCGTTTAGAGCAGCACGGTCCTGACTTCACCACTAAACGGGTGCCCCCAAATTTTCAATATTGATGAAAACTTTTTTAAAAAAACCACTTTTTCGTACCGGCCATTGGAATACTTGATGCGGAAAGAGGAAATGCAAATTTGGTAGAACTCTTTCCAGTTGGCTCAAAACTCAGCCACATCGCACGACCAGCTGAGTGAAGATCAGGAGGTGAAGAATACCTGCTCCACTCAAAGAAGACGCTATTCTCGTTTGCACTGTCGTTACCGTCACCAGCTCGGAATTTGTAGGGTCCAGACACTGACACATGCTTCGAGAACGTAATTTGAATTTTTCGATTTTCTTCCGCTTCAATTACCCATAAACTATCAATATTCAGGGGATAGCTGCTTGGATAGGTTTCTGGACTCAATTCGACTGTCTCGGTGGAATTGAGATAAATGGTATCCCCTCTTCCTATAACAAATATAAAAATAAAAACGAGTGAGAAAATATATTAACAGAACAAGTAAAAAGTGTGCATGTTTGGAGCAGCAATGCACTGTTCAACAGCACAGTTAGTAGCTAAATTATACTAAATGGAACTGCCCAATAATTTTAAGTGTCTAAGTATAGATATTTTTAGTTATACTCACTGTGAACAATAATGAAAGGGAACGCAACAGAGCATCATAGAGTAAAAATCTGTACAGGAACGATTCCAAGTTTCCAGGAACGTCTGTTTGCATGGACATGTACATCTACTCTGGTCTTTCAAATTATAACTTTAATTTCAGTGCAGGAAGGTTGCAAAGTAATGGTCGTCAATCACTTCTCTTCCAGTGAGGTATGGAACCATTTACCCGAAGGAGGAGGTTGGATTGGATGGTTAAAGAAATTGATCCTGGAAAGCACATGGACCTTTGTAAAAGATTATTCCCAGTTTTACCTCAACCGTGTTCGTTTCGAATGGATACTTTTTAAAGTTACGACTGCGGCTGGATTAAACACGTGTGCCCATATAATGGAAGCCTGTATCTAGCGGCTGCAATCATTGTCTCAAGAGAAGTGGATATTCGTATATTCCTCGCTGTCACAGCCAGTCGATCCGAGGGTCTGTTTTTTGTGTCCGGTTTCGCGTTCGGTATTATACGGGGCAGGGAAACAAATTTGTTCGCATTAATTCGTACACAAATCCTCAAGCAAAACGCTTTCCGTGTAGCTTTTGTCCACATGTAATATTTTATATATTCCGACTTCCGGTGCTTCCTGATATCCTGGGGTACAAGCTTTATCACAGTTTATGACGGTCTCCAATGCTAGGCCTATATTTTATTTACTGAATGTTTCATAAGATAAGATAATCAGGAATGTATAGCCAGCTAATTTTAGTTTTCGTAAAAAAAACCAAAGACGTGTTGCAAAGACTAGATAACTTCTTGCCTTTTAAGTGACGTCAAAGGTAGACTTCATGATACGGTGGTGCATTTGTGGAGTTATTGTTCATTTCCTCATTTTAAACTTACCACAACCGAGTTCATCGCCTCCACCAAAACAGTCAATTACGTAGTCACACTGCCAGTCCCCACTTATACAGACTGAATGTCCGCAGTCAAACTCATTTTGAGAACAATTCAGTACATCTGTAACAAAGAACAAATATAAATGCGGCAAAACTCGGTCGGAAGTCCAATATTTTATTAAATAAACCATCAGATTTGATGTTCCTTTGTCCGCCTCGTACTTGTTGAAAATAATGATCTTAAAATTCTTTCGGTAACAGTAACAACCAAGTAAATCTGCATTCCGCCAAATTTCAATATCTCTCTCTGACGCAGTTATATGTCACACCCCACGGAAGCATATAGGGGCTACTACCCATTTTTTTTCAATTAAGTTACTATCTCGCCACGGCGAAATTCCATCTCGCCGCGGCAAGTTAGGCCTATAAAGATTTTGCTGCCGAGTCAAATCGATATCCCACCGTGGCGGATATTTCAATAGCCTCACAAGTCCTATTTAGTGTGCCATCGTTTTCAAATGTATCCTTAGGGTGGAATGCAGTGAAGTTTGGGTTTAGATTGGTTGGAACAAAGGGAGATACCTGTATTACATTTCAACAAAGCTTGGTGTCCAAAACAAAACAAAACAAAACAAAACAAAAGATGGGAAATCTCATTTTTAGTATACATTTTCACATTCAGATGAGGGGTAAACTGCTTTTAATTCCTTCCTACATTTTCCAAGTGCCAGACATATTTGCCCTCCCCAGCACCCTGCGCTGTATGGGCGGTTTGTGTCGAGTTAAGGCATGAATGTGAGGTCAAAGAGCCTGGGGATTGCAATCCACTTGATGAAAAAGTGTGTGTATTGGTGTCCCTTTTCACGTTCTTTTCATTTTTGTTTTTTGCCTGTTGAAATCTCCCAAATCATATGTTAACCATGAAGTTTTGTTGTGAAATGGCAACACACATTGGCTAAAAATATGCATGGGCGTCAACCGGATTTGTGCAGGCCCCAACCGTCTTGCTAAAAAGTAACAATTTCTTTTTTTTTAATCAAATAACTTAACAGTTCCATACTGTTTCATTTCTTTGGCTGATAGTAAATTGCCGCAGCGAGATAGTAACTCGAAAAACTTTTTGTACAAGTGGCCCTTAAACGCTTCCGTAGAAACATGTAAAACCAAAATAATTTGGATGGATGACTCCGATTCGTTTGTAATAGTCGTGTGACAGTGAGCTTTAACTCTGTGCGTGTTGATTCTACATAATCACTATTATACGTGAAAGTCAGAAAGAAACAGACTTTTTCCGTGCCTAAATAGTTATCGTCCATTTGACGATGCAGTCACATTGATAAGATGATGGAGCATGTCCAGTAAGCGAATTGTTGATGGATGGCATTGCACGATAAGGACTGACTGATTTCTACAGCCTAAAATGGCATTAAATGTCAGACGTTTACATTTCAGAGGTTGTGATGAGGTTTTGAACGATTTACCTCAAGGCTCCCTTCCAGCTCAGCCTACGATCTGCTTACCATTCAAATGGATAGGGCCTACAGAGTTCTACTTGTTGAATCATCTGAAACATGTCTTCTCACCATACACCTCCGTCATAGTGCCCGGATTTCAGCAGTGAGGTTATGTTTCCAACTCCTAAATGGTATTCAGAACGGTTTTGTACATGCCATTTTACCGAACCCACAGAGGAAAAAAATCCAGATCTGTCTGTCTCAGTCACGACAGAAAATGGCCACCTACATCCCCGGACGTAACCCCTCAAACATTCACTGATTTCACTCACTGAGTGTTGAAAGAAATGTCTGGATTCATAAAGCTGTCCGTGTACTGACACACAAGAACAAGACACTTTAAGCTGGCCAGATTTTAAAAAGTAACACTTAAATGTAGACTCTCCAGGATTTTCTTAGCTTGTTCGGGAAATCTTATCCATGGGAACATCTAAAAGGCGTTAGTACTCAAACTGAAAACCAAAGAAAATACTTTATCAACCTACCAGTGATCGGTACGCTAGAAGCTGAAATCAAGAATCCAGGTCGTGAGTTACTTCCATCAGAATGGAATTTTAACCACATAGTGTTTCCATTGGACAACACATCGGGTGGTGTCCTCCTCCAGCTCCATTCAAAGAAAGTGTTGACTGCGCTTACGTTGCCCTCACCAGCCTGGACGTAGTCGTGTCGATACTCAGTGTCAAAGCTGGAAAAGCTCACACGTATTCTCCGATCGTCTTCCGTTTGGATGATCCATGTGAAGTCTCTATCACTTGGATAGTAGCTGGGATAGTTCGGGGAAACAAGTCGTGCTGTTTCAGTTTTTTTTATGAAGACAAAGCGATCCTCACCTAGGAGAACAAAATGTTGAAAGTCTCAGAGATTACTTCAGGGCACTATGGAACAGGACTGTATAGGAACATGAAAAAAGGACTCAGTAGTAAAACAGCAACAAAACCATCACAGATATTGGAAAGAATAAACACCAGTGGTAATACTAAATAATGAAATTAGTGTAAAAATCGGGACGACCCGAAATTCACGCGTGATCTGCAGCTGCATGTTCACGTCGGAAAAATAGGCCTAAGACATAAAGTGTTACTACTACATGTTACTTCAGTATATGGAGCACAAGTTCATGCCTCTTTGTCCTTACGTTGTTTTGACATATCTTTTGTAAGATTTTGTTTATGAAATTCATGAAAATTTCAGTGACACCTTAATATGTCCCAATCAGTTTTAGAATAATAAATGTTAAATGTCCTGTGACATGCAAAGAGGGTAACAGTCCAGAGAGAGACCAGACCATCTTGTGTATAGAGTGACCATCTCTCCTATAAAGGCAGGAGGAGGCTTCTCGGTTAGTTGATTATCACAGCTTTCCTTTTTTATGCACGTTTAATCACCAATACAACGACGCCATTTTAGATGGCGGACTTAAAAGAAGAAGAAAAAGAAGAAGAGAAAAACCGGTTACCGCAATTGCTCTGATCAACACTTCCACGACAGTCTGTTGTATAGTCACACTGCCATGCACCGTCGATGCAAACAGAGTGGCCACAATCAAAGTCCCCCGGCATACACGTCAAAGTTTCTGAAGAAACCAGGACAAGAATTCGAGGCATTACTGTTTTTATAGCTATAAGTGGCTTCTACAAGATCAGTTACTTGTCAGATTCAATGGAAAGTCTGGAAGTTTCGGTGGTAAATTTAAAGTTTCAAATTTACATAAATTATTCTCTTGTGAATCCGGAGACATCTCTGACTGAGTTGTATGATAGAGGCACTTATTCACCCCACGTCACAGCGTACAATGCACGGGGAATTATAGGACTTTTCTATAATCAGATTAGGCTGACCTACATTTGGGGCTGGCCTACGTTTCTTTCATTCATATTTCGATTTAAAAGCAAAGAAAAAATACAATCACACAAGAAGTCGTTTTTCGTCGTTTTCCAATGTAAAAAAGAAAAAAAATGAAAAATGAATCATTTCTCATGTTTCTATTTGAAACACAGATATGGAAAAATAATATATGTCCTTTCACTTTTCACATTTTAAAAACGAAGAACGAGAATCATTTTGTATTTCGTTTTTCCATGTGAGAACGAACAACAACGTAATCTATTTTGATAAAAGATCAATTTTTCAGACATTTCTGGCTGAAATGGATGATTACAATGAATTCGTTGGTTCCAAAGGAGGAGAATCAACCCACAAAATCTTCTTATATTCTAACAAGCAACATCTATCTTATAGAAAGTGCGCTGGCGATAATGTCCTAAAATGATATTGAGTGGGCATAAATTGCTTTACTTTTCCGCGTTCCCAAAAGCATCACAAATTCGAAAACAGTTTTTCCTGCACAATGATCTCAGCCTTTTCACAACTTGATTACGCTTACTCTTTTAACAAACGACATGTGTCATGCTGCTCCTTCTAGAATTGACGTCATATCTTAAGAAGGCTTACATCCTGTATATTATAGATATGGTTGAAAGAAATGGGGGCAGTCTGTTACGGTGGGCCAGTCAATATCTTTCTATGAAATCACGCAACATGACTCCTCGTCTATTTATCATCATATTTTATCCTGTTGTGCCATAATTTCAGCCTGCATGTCTGGGTTTGACATGCAGGCTTAAGGAGACTGCGTGTCAAACCCAGTTTGACATGGATCCCCTTTCTGTTTGCATAAAGAGCTTTTATACACCGGCTCAGTTACTGACCAAACCAGGTTTAACTGGTTGTAGTCCCTAATTTCACCATCACTTGGGTCCATTAAAGTCCAGTATGTTCTCTTCAAGGAAACATTTGAGACACCAAATAAATTTCCCGTTAACAGAAAACATGCATGTACCTTTCGATTTCAGACAAAAACCCTCAAAGTAAGAGAGGAACAGCAGAGCAAATACCCTGAGAAATAATTCCTCCTGGGGTAGTGTGGTTTGGGAGGAATGAATTTGTGGAGGTCGTTATTTGCGGTGTTTGTGAATTCATGTAATTGTTCAGAGTGAGTTATGTTGACTTCTTTTATGGGTGATGATCCCATACCTGGAAAACAGAATTTCCAAGCTCGGTTTTGACTAACATCCCAATTTCTCACACACTTACGCCATCTTCGTTGGCTAACATCATCAATGTCCATCAAGGTAGTCAAATATTGAACAAATTTTTGGAATGCATTCATAGAAATCGTATGTACATTAGAGGCTGTTCCCTTCAATAAAACCTACGTATTAGCCAGAGAGAACTGAACACACGCGCGGGAAACTGTGCGTCTCTTCGAAAAACACCAAAACTAGCGGCTTCCGCCCACACTTAATGTATTATCCAACAGAGGAATGACCCGTACGCATTGACATTGATAAATTTAAAACAAATAATAAAACATTATAAAGCGGAATTTGAGCCTGCAGCCTTCAGAATACCGTACCAGTGCTCAACCAACTGAGCTATCCAGCCAAACATTGGTGGCTCTTCCCATTTGTCAATAACTTTGTTCGGGGTGCTAGCCAGAAGCCATTAAGCCCGAAACACCATGTAGCCAGGGATCACATCCCAATAACACGATACAACCTGGGAAGTAGTAAACAGGGATCACTCAAAAAGGATACGGCTTTTTGAAAATACATTTTGAAAGAAACTTTATAGGGAAACCGACTAGGTGCACGTAGTCAGTTTCCCTACATATTTTCTTTCAGATAATAAAACAGGGTCGTTATGAAGTCCTTACCGGTCATTGGTACACTGACAGCGTTAAATAGAAACCCACGTGCTCCGGTTGCTCCGTTTGAGGTAAATCGCAGCCACATCTGCTTGCCACTTGACAGAAGACGTGGAGCTAATCTATTACCGCTCCACACAAAAAACTCGTCAACTCCGATGTTGCCACCATCTCCAGCCCGAAAATAGTCTCTATAAAGCTGAGTGGAAAATTCAAAGAAAGTGACCAGAATTTTGCGGCCCTCATCAGTTCGTATGATCCAGGTGCGATCAACATTGTTTGGATAGATGTTCGGAAATAGCGGCGATCCCACACGCACGGACTCATTCGCTGTAATGCTGATGTTCTGATCTGTGATTGATTTGAATCAAAACAAAAAAGTATACGTTTAAAGCAAAAAGTAATTTAAGACTGTAAATATTAGAAAATCTTTGGGCACTAACTTATGCTTTCTCTTTCATACTGCCAAACTTATAGGGAGGATTAATGTTGTTTAAGACGCTTTAATCAAGTTGGCGACTTCGATCACTCTCGCTTTGAGGTCGTTAGACAGTCGTTAAACCTGGAAGTTTCAACAAAACTGTACATGTACTTTCAAGTGGTGGTCCTACGTATCTCACTAAAGTCTTATATTTTTGTCATTTTGAAATCTATTATGTAATTACCTAGTCAGCGTATAGTTTGCTTTACTTTTTGTGTTTAAAACTGTTTCCTCTTTGACTGATCTCCGTTCACCACTTCCTATGCTTGTGGCGTTGGTATAATGTTGTTTGTATCATGCCTGTGAGGCATGATCACTAGCCAAAATGGTTTAGGGGTTTTATGGCCTCTGACTGTTGTGCAGAAGCAAAGAAAATGACAAATGGACGGAGCCATGAACATGGGGCCGGACGGTTCAGCGGGTAGAAAACCGGCTGGGGTGTTTTGGAGGTCGAAATTAAATCACACCTCAGCATTGTCTTTTATCAAAATAAATTCATCGAATATACCTTTATAGACTTTCACTTCAACTTGCACGTTTCGCTATAGTGTGCCACGAGCTGGCCAATCCGCTTGCGTAAAATGTGTCGACCACTACGAAAAGCCAATCGTGCCAATGAAGAATAAATTTTCAGCTATAGAAACTAAAGAAACACTATTTCGTTTCGACAAATCACTAATTCGAAATAATGAATTACTAATTTGTTATAACGAATTACTAATTCGTCATAACGAATTACTTGAGCCTCCAAATAGCGCTGTTTTGCGTTATTCCCATGTGATTCAAGACATGCATGCTTCATACGTCTAAGGGTGCACCCCTAAAAATAAATTCCCATAGACAACCAATAATAAATCCTTTTATTTCAAAATTATTTGAAAAATACTCCCAACTCTCACAGGTGTCCAAGCTTGACAGCAAAATGATGTTCGGCGTGTCCTTTTTCATTTTCCTTTCAGTTTTGTTTTTCCGCAGAGACACCTTTTTTATTTCTCTCTTGTCGACAAAAAATTAATAGCAACTAGTAAAGTTATAAAAGATTATAATACTTCAATTATTAATAATTTAATAATAAGTAATTTTGCCATTTCAACCAAAACTATTGGCAGGCACCATTGACAGAAGCCAAATATTTTTCACAATGATAATACCTCTGGATATCCTTTTTCAAAGCTTCTAATGAGGGAAGTTTGCTGTTCATTTTCATTTTATAAATGTGAAATCTGGCAACCAAACGGATAAGATTAATGCATTTAAGTCTAGTGTCAACAACACCGAACAATAAAAGTTGATTGTCTATTACAAGGTGTATCTTTGTTTTGTCCTTAATCCATTCTACTATTGAGATCCAGAAAGAATTGACATATTTACAGTTGCAAAAACATCGGAATCCAACGTATGAATTTTACATAAATACGAATTAGAATCAAGAATTCTGTGGATTAGTCTAAACTGAATCCATCTAAGCTTAGAGTCCACTGTACATGTAAAAGGAACACTAAAGGCCTGAAACCAAACATCCAAGTCATAGTGGAATTCAAGTTGCCTTTCCCATTTGTCCACAAACTTTCTAGCTACAGTTTTTATAGAGACAAAAGGGTCGTAATTTCTCCGAGAGCCCTTTTTGTCGGACAGGAGAACATGCATGTTGAAGGGAAAGGCGGGAAAGGGAGCATTGTTATTATTCGTAAACAAATCACGATAAGCAGCCTTGACTAATCTTAAGATCGCACCATATTCAATAAAGTTGGCCAGGACATCGAACTTGGCCGTAAAATCGGACAGTGATGAAAAGCAACCTATATCATCTAAAAGATCACATTTGAAAACAATACCAGCTGTAGACCAGTGCTTATGATGAATACTCTTCCTTTCAATTTTTCGTAGGTTGACGGATGAATTTTTGAGAAATTCTCACCCAAAGTTCACAACCCCTAAAATGAAGGAAATTTCGCTGCCCGGAAAAGTAGCCATTTTGAAAATGCACCCCTCTGCAAAACGGCTAAATAGAGCCACTTTCGGACCCAATTGCGTCCAATTGCTCAGAATTGGAATCCTGGGGTGTATTCGAAACCCCATTCTCATGGGACTCACGAACAGGGTTCTTGGGTCGTTGATTACGACCGCCAAAGTGCAAAAGGAGTGCAGCTGCGCTGAAGGTCAAGATAGCAATCGCCATTCTGACACCAAATGAAAAGATGACATGTCATTAGCCTTGTCACATTAAATAAAACCCACAAATATCCATATTAAATGGTCAGGGTAAATCCTCTCCGGTATCCGGAGTGTTTTCTGTTTTATGTAACAAGACCAACAACATTAAGTAACGGTATGTGCCTGTATCCGTCATCTTTGTTCTTGATGTTTTCCATCCACTTCCCAGAAAGTGGGGAGTGAGAATCTTGTTCGCGAACAAATTTTTACCGTGCCAAAAGTTTATAAACTAATCTACACAAACCCATGGAAGACTGCCGCGATTTTTAATATTTTGGTCGAAAATATTCAATAATTTCAGTGCACTGCAAGTCCACACTCTGATCTTGCAAGGCATAGAGTATCAATGTAATCGATATTGTTTTCCTGTTTTCGATAGCCGTTTGTTTCCTAAGTTGAAAATATAATTCTGTCCCGTTATATGATGTACCATGGCAAAGTGTCACGGACACAAAAGTGGCCCAATGTTCCGAGGAAGGAGCTTGCAGCACGGCTACAGCATTGAGTAATCAATGTCACTATGCAAAAAACGATTCGTGACCAGCATGACAGAGCAGAACAGAACAAAACAGAACACGTGAGAGTTAACCCAGAAACGCCCAAAATGCCTTTTAAGCCCCTTCCTTTATTTAAACACAAGCTGCAATGCCACAAAAGCTTTAACTCCTGTCGTCAACAACCATAGTCCCAGTTGCAGCCCAACTGAATTTCTATCAAAACAAATGCTAGTCTCGTATCATAATTCCACGTTGCTTCCTTTTGCAGAGCTAGAAATGCACAACTTAGTACATGCACTGAAAAGAGTTCAAAAGTTTAACACAAAAAGGGGTTATGCTCAACATTTTCCGTTACAGAGAGTGGACAAGGACTGTAGATTCGTGAAAAGAATGGGCGAGTCGAAGCCGACCCATTCTTAGCATGAATTTACATTTCCTCGTCCATAGAGCTTAAGAGTAAAAAGTCACGCAGTGACCTTCCGCCTACTGAGATTTTACACTGGGCCGTCCTATCACGTTCGATTTTTTTTTTTGAAGAATAATTCCTTACTGAAACCACTCCATGAAATATTAATGTTAGAAGTTTACCTTTGTCTTCCTCAACTAATATTTAGGAAAAGTGACCTGGAGATGGGTAAAAACGAATTTCATTAACGACTTTTCACATCCGGCGATATCGTACCTGGGTCTCTTTAATTCATGCATATTTGTTTTTACTCCCCGTGCTTAATACGTGAAAACGAGATTATAAAACATTGCAAAGATTTCCGTACCTGTAGTGCATGGGTCCCATGTTTCGTTGATTTGATATACTTTGTAACGCAGTTGTTGTCAGCAAAGATTAAATAAAATATTAGAATCTTTCGTAATTGCTTTAAGTTTATTACCTTATAAATCAAAACACTGCGTGAAATATTTTCATCTGTTTTTATTTCGGCTTTTACTAACAGATTACCATAAATTTCAAACTGTAAAATTTATGTTCATCTGCGTACGAGACCGGCGCATTAGACTGTTCTTTATGTATTTTGGATTTTCGGGAGGGATGGGTCAATTTTTGGCAGGATATTTCTCTTTTAGGTCAGGTAATTTTTCAGTTCTAAAAATTGATATACAAGCAAATATTTTCCAAAGCCCTTTTTCCATGCTGGATTTTTAAGAAGTAACTGAAGGAACAAAAAAATGTTACAAATTCTAAAATCTTTGCAGGTTCAACAATTTTCCTATCCAAGGGTTCCGGAAGCATGCCATCAGGGCTCAACTTTCGGGAACTATTGTCCTTGACAAATCATTCGCTGTAATGTGCTTGCTCGTCACTCTGTAATATACGGAATTCCCTATCTGCCGTCGCTCATCGCCCGTCGTGCGTCGCCCGTGTTTTTTTGTCAAGATTGCGCAGTGGTATTTTTTACTTTGACCCTTGATCGTTTCACATGTACTTGTTCGATCGATCCATCATGCCCACCATCCATCATCATTGTAAAGTTTTCCATAAATGGATCCATTTATGCCAACAACCAAACGACGCGAACGTGCAAGTACGTGTGGATGTGCATTTATTCATGTACGGAAGCCCATTTGGGACAACACACAAAAAAAGTTCTCTGGGCTACTGTTTCGCCGATTAATTATTATCTCGCTTGTTTCTCCTTGGCGGATTACCAGGGTGGATTACTACTTTGCATTGGAGGCTTACTGTTTTATCAGACCTGTATTCCATACCGTTGCCGCTGTCACAGCCGCTCGTGTAGTAATCTGCCCTGGATACATTTATAGTAGCTCGGAAAATTTTATTGGCGCGTCCTGATACGCAACCGTAAAATACGCTTCCTAACCCTATAAGGCACCATGCCGAAATCTGCCTGTTGGACAGTCCGGCCGTGCCTACTGGGTCGGAACACTGGTGCCTTGGCCCTGCGGCACATTTAATCCAGCCCAGATAATTCCACTGGAATGTTGCGAAGATATATTCCCAAGTTGGTTTTAATACGAATTCAGAGGACAAAAAGGTTGAGGTGATCCACACACTTAGGGCCTAATTTTAAATGCAAAGTTGAAACCGGATTTTGAGCTGTTTTATTAGGCCATTGCTTTCAAAGACTTTCCTTTAAAAATTGGAAGAAGGTTCCCCAATTGTACTTTTTGTTGTAAATATCCCGAAACTTCGATTCATGTTTTGTATGAGTGTGAGCGTGTTTCGCGATCTTGTCAGACGTCTCCTCTTTCTTCAATCGGACCCTAACGGACTCTATTCAAATTGGGAAGTTTTGAACTCCCATTTGGTGTTTCCAAGAATACATTTTCGACATATGATTTTCTTCGTGCTAAATTCAATTTTTATAGATGTAATTATTCATTCGAATTCCCTCCTTCAGTGGATTAAGATATTTTTTTTACCAAATTGGTATTATGGCATGGAATGCACGACTGCTGTGAAAAATTTTGACTTTGTTATAAGAAATGGAAATTAGAATTCTAGTTTTGTTATACATTCATTGCAACCATTCATGTGACCACTTATCTACAAGTATATTCTGGGCCTATCTCTTCTTGATCCTCTTTCCTAAGTGTTTAATTCTGAATTGTACATTTTTCATGATTCCTGTTTTTATTTTCTAATGTATTTTTGGTTTATGTTCTTGCCCATCAATGAAACACAAGGGAAGAATAAAAAACAGAGATATTACCCAGTAAAGTTCACATTGTAACCATTACTCTTATTGTTTTGCACACGTCTGGTTTCAACGAATGACGTAACAGAGATGAATTGTATTAACAGAGGTGTCCCCTTAGAAGGAATCTTTCCAATTTTCACATTTCACCATGGAATAAGAAACATTCTTATAACCTCCCTGTGCTTAAGTCCGCAAGGACTTGTTTATCTGCCTACGATTTGTTGAATAAGATAAAATGAAAGGAATTTTGTGACATAGAACAACAGTAAATATTATGAAAAATATCACGATAAAAAGAAAATGAAACAAATTCCTATTCTTGCTGTTGACTTATATTTGATGTGACAATGCAGTACAAAATATCATTTTTTTACGGCAGTCCTTTAAAGGAGATTCCAAACATACAATCAAAGTAGAAAAATTTTACACTCCATTCTCGGACAATTTAGTCGGAGGATAAAAGAATATGTTGCACTGCATGCACCACTTGTGCAACTTCAAAAACGTTGTTTCTCCTCTCCGTTACTATTAAATTTAAAATAGAAGGCCTCTGGAAAAGTGTAGATGATTGGAAGATAAGAATGTAATGTCATTTCCCGATATGACCAGGGGCTATGTCTTATTCCGTCAGTAAATTTTATAGACATCACCTTGTTTTGCTTGTATTTTAGACTGAGCTGTTTCTACCAATAAAAGAAGGGCACTCACATGAAGAAGGAAACTCATTAAAACAAAAGAAAAATCCAAACAAGAATTCTTTACAGTAGAGTTGTATTCCTACCCCTAACGTGGTAGCATTTTGTGGAACAAATAAATTTAATCTTGTGTGGGAAGTGTTTAGACTGATATTACCTTGAGCTTCCACGCACGACACCAGTACTTCAAATGCAAACAGAAGAACCAGCAGAACGGTCTGCACTTTGCATCGGCGTCGCATTTTTAGATCTACCACAGTTCGTCAACTTGTAGAATGTAGGCCTAGGCCTATAAACATGAGTGTGAAAACCGACGTCTGCTCAGCTCGTCGGTGCCGAGGATTATATTTCTGTTCTCTGAATGGGTAGTAAGTTCTGATCAGCTCAAAAGTTTATTTTATTTTTTTTTACTTACTTCCTCATTCTATTTATTAAACCTGTTAACAATAGTCTCCTTAGCTTTGCTTGGGGGAATCGACTATTGTTACTGCTCAACCCTGGGCATCCAGTGACTTCAGACGTTGTGATGACGACATACCCCTTTCATTATTGTTTGACCCCGAACGAGCCTGATATTTTGGCTATACCCAGCCAGAAATGAGGCCGAAAGAAGATGGACAGAACCTGTGTGTGTAGCAGGGTCCA